TTTTAGTAGACACCCTGCTCTGAGAAAAGACTTTTGAATACAAATACAGTCTAAGATGCGTGTGAGATAAGGACTAAGGAAGGAAAAAGTAAGGATTTTTGAGAATTGCCAAAAAAAGGAATTTTCAGGAAAGTAAGGAAATAGCAAGGGAAAGGTATCGAAAAAGCGAACAATTTTAATGACTGGGTACCAGTGGACAATTCCTGCAATTTCTCCATTATGCCAGTGCCAGATTCCAAGGGAACATATGCGATTGTTTCAATTTTATGAAGTGATGAGCAATTATTATCGCTCAAAATTTGCCTTACACGCAATTCGCGGATCCTTGGATCAGACATCTTTCACACCTTAGCGCTAACAACTGTATAAACCCCGCCAAAAAATTTCGCCGAGGGCTGATCGGTGGCTCAATCCTAATCTCAGCTTCGAGAATGACAAAGTGGTAAACCTCTGTGATCCCCGCATTCAACTCCGAGGATCCATCTCAATCGTGCGTGGAGCGGCGCACCTGAGCCCGAGAGAGCAGCTTTATAATGATTTAATTAGCTTCATTTCTCTCCCCGCTCAATCTGCGATCCGGCCGTCAAAACTTTCATGTTTTTGATCGCGCCGCTTGTGTTTACCGTGTGGCTGCGATATGTCGAGCCGCGAAACTTGATTTACAGGCTCAGCCCACGTTGACGACTCTCACCTGTAAATCCTTGTTTCTTGTTCTACGTGAAATAATAAGGAGAATTCGCGGAAATTCGGCCGCTCCGGCAACCCCGCGTAGAGACGCAGTTACCGCTAATGAGCCACACGCGTTGCAAGATTGCGGTTCACGTGGTCCTCGCGCCCGGGAAAGTTCTGCGGGTTTTCGCCGCTGCCCCCCGGGCGCCCCACAGTGGATCGAGTGGGTAAAGTCGGGAAAAATGCGAAACTTTGAAAACGCATTGCTCCGTTCATACGAAACTTTAAGGTAAAAGTGGCTCCATTGGTTTTCTTCCGGAAATTTGCTCCTAGAACAGGGTGTCTAGCAACAGGAATTTCCCGATTTTCCCCATTATATCAGGATCTGAGGTCAATCAGGATTTAATCCTGGATTTCATCAGGATTTGAGGAAAAATCGGTCGTAAATCAGGATTTGAGAAAAGTCGACCGTCCTATCGGATTTTTTTATCAATCTACTTTTGTATGAAGTTACTTCGCCTTGCGTGAAGGCTCTAAAGCAAATCAGGATTTGGAAAATTATGAAATCAGGATTTAGCAGTCAAAAATCAGGAAAAATCAGAATTTCCTAAAATGAAAAGGAAACTATAGATACCCTGTAGAAACAGCTATTAGTATTTAAAATGTGATGAAATCTACATCTAAATTCGCAGTTTCAGTCCAAAATTTCACGTCCGTCTTTCTGATTGACTCGAGCCACTGTGCGCCCTAAGCGCGCGACGTCATTGACCAATTTCACGTTCACCCGACGCGCACGCTCGTAGGAAATTTTCAGGTGCAAATCGAGAGTGTAAAGCTCGCGAGACCGCAAATCGTCGCTCCTCTGACGTTAAGGCGTATATCCATTTCCTCATGAGCCCCGGAAAACGTAAAGTTACACGGAGAACAGGGCTCAATTCGAGATGCGTCTTTTCGTCGGAGGCGCGACAAAATGCTCACTCGGATGCCGACTGGAGAAATCGGAGTTTCCTAAGATTATCGCCGTGGTCTCAGGCCGTGGTGGAATAATTAATGGTCTTGGATGGGGTCAACGGAACGTGAAAAACGTCCAGCTCTTTTCCGTCAGGAATTTACTTAGTTCTCTGGTCTGAGTTGGCAACGGCGAACATACTCTATTCGACGCCAATTTATCCTTTCCCACGATTCATCAGTTCATCAGACTTCTGACTTCCCAGACGATATTCGATGAAGTATGATGACCGTCTTGGCACTTAAGTACATTTTTTGCCTGAATTCATAAGCGCATCTCGAAAAATTGCCGCCTATTACTTTATTTCCAAACATTCATTGTTTTAAATATTAGAGTAAAAAGTAAAACGAGACGTGGAAAAACTTACATAGTTTTTTCCCCCGTATTAACAAGAACAGGTAATATGTTTCGCCATATCCAACTTTTCTCCCATTCGTTAAAGTCTCTGAGTCAGCGGAAAAGAGACGAATCTTTTTCTAATCGCCAGAGATATGCGAGAAAATTGTGTTGCTTCATAATCGGACCGGATCGGTGAAAAGGGACCTCTTCTTCCGGAAGAAAATTTCAGGAACTTGAAATTCATGCGAAAAACGATCGCGGTAAGTAAGCGCCTGCAAAACTGTCGGAATACTTCAATTATCGCGCGGTTTGGTCTCGCTCTTTCAACTCCAGGCATTCGGTTGGCGCATGGTGTAGAGGACGAATAGTCGTATTTACGCTGTTTTATTCGTGTATTACTCGATTAAAAAAATGTGCATTAGAAAAAATATTTGATTATATGCAAGTGAAAAAAAGCGAAAAAACTAAAAAAGCACAAAGAAATCCTCAAAACCATTACTACACTGGTAACAATAATTTGTCGAATTTCACCTTTGAAAATTTGAGAAAAATACCATTTTCAGCGAGCACATTTTTGTCACATTCCTCTTGTAACATTTCGTCACCCTCTGGCCAAAGTATCACAAGCGCTATGGGACGTTTAAAAATTTCCCGCCGCCATTTATTTTTTCCCGAGAAATTATTCAAGGAAGCTGTCCGAAAATTTCACTGAATTTTTTTGGTGCTGCCGGTAAAATCCAGTGAAATTTTCAAACAGATTCAACCAACAATTTCTCTGTAAAGAAATAGAATGGCGGTGGAAATTTTTAAACGTCGCTTGGTGCTTGTGATACTTTGGCTGGAAAAGTGACAACTTATCATAAGCTTTATCAGAATTCCTAGTCGTTTCAGCGTATGCTCCTTCACTTGACCCCTCCCCAAAGGAACAGTTTTGGTCACCGCTCTTTCTGGCCAGGTACACGGCAATCAAATTCGAACAAGTGTGTCGACTGGTTTATCACCGAGCATTTCCTGGCTGCGTGTTTGGTGCGATCGTTGATCGCTTCAATCGGATTATAGGAGAATCTACGGCTAAATCCTTCCGACAGTTATTTCCTAAGTGTGCAGCCTCACAAAAGCCCGGGCGATTCTAGCCTCCTCGCACACCCATCCCCTCGGCGTTGTAAGTATGCCGCCGTCACGCCGACCGCACCGTGGAGGAATAAAAGTTTGATACCTGTCCGATGCTCTATTGTGTCGAGGCAACTCTAATTTATATTTTTTACAACGTCCCAATCCGCCGCGTTGAAAGTTCGACGTTGAACATCGTAAACCCTACGGATCCGTGACTTTGTTGCCGTTCTGATTACTTTTTTCTATACAAATTAAATTTTCCCCCCATTTTTTCTATACAAATTAAATTTTTTTCAAAAACCGATTATACTTAGATGACTTACTTTTTTATTATTCTTTACGCACAATGGCCATTTCGGGTAGGCCGCCCATTAAGTCGTCTAATTGTAAGAAAAATCGGTTTTTGATTTTTTTTAAAATTTGTATTGAAACCTGAAACAAGTGTACATAGTGCCGATTAAGTGTCAGAAAAATTGTGCAGTATGCTACAACATAGCGTTCTGATTACGTTTCACAGTTTTTCTTGTATCGTTCTAAAATTTAGCCCAAAAAATAATCAAATTTTCTCCCTGCATTCCAAAGACAAGAAAATACTCTTCATTAGTATCTCCATTGGTAATGGCAATACACGACGTCAGGACTCTCTTTACCACAAAACGAATCAATATCAACCTTAGGAGGATGCTCGATCCTACTTTTTTTTTTTCTTTCTTTCTTTCTTTTTTTTTAGTTTTCCGTTTTCCCCGTCCTTGGCCGCGACCTTTAATCGGCAACGCTGTTCTCCGATCATTTTTGTCACCGGTTTACAACGCTCGACACCGGGGCCGAAAGGTCACCGCCGGAACCGGAGGCATCGCTGCCAGGTTCGGAGGAAGAAAAAATTCGCTCCCAGCGGAGTTCCCTACGAAGTAGGCGAGTTTTTTCGGGACAACGACAACCCGACGACTGCGCTAAATGGCAGTGAGGATGAGCGATGAGCGGTTGAGGTTGAGAGCAAATGGACGAGTAAAGTTGACCGGCGTCGCCTTTGTTTTATGACCCGTTTATCGCCGGGTTGAATCATTTTTATTGGCTGACAAATGTGGGTGGTTTGAGCGGAGGACAGAAAGAGGGCATTGGCGCGTCCTTGATGAGGATGAAAGATTATCCGCCCATTTTCTTGGAGTTTTCTTCCTCTATCAATCCGATGATGGATGGAAACTAACCGATAAGTGCGCTGTCTATTATTAGTCTATCATTATCTATCTATAGTGCATCCTCTTGGAAACTTTCCTGCTTTAAAACTTTTTCGTGTATTTATGTGAGATTTATCTTCTGATGTTAAAAAGAAAGTTAAGTTTTAACTTCATGAAGAATTAAACTTTTTTGTTCTATTATATGATCCTCTCTTTTCTAATAAAATCATTTTTAAGACGCTCAATTGACGAGATGAGGGAGGGGGGTATAAAACGGTCGATGGTCTGGATTTCAAAGTCCGTAAGTGGGAAAATTCTAATAAAATCATTTTTATGACGCTCGATGGTCGGGGTGAGGAAGGGAAGCAAGTATAGTAAGAAGCGACCCTTTAGGGGGCGCGCAGCAGCCTGGGGGCGGAGCCTCCTAGTCTTTTATATAAGCAAAGATGGTTGAGAACGAAAACCACCTCATAAAACTATAAGAACGGGAACAACGAACGGAGGATGCAAGATAGAACTGCATCAAAGCGAAGGATCCTCTCTTGCCTATAACCGGCAAAAATGAAGGCGAAAAACGCATCATCAGTTTAAATGTGGTTTCAGCGAGAAACAGAGCCTGCATTTTATGCGTTTTTGCTGTTAATTTCTTCCAGGAATGGATTTTAATGTTTTTTTTATTTCTTTGTTTGTTTCAGGACCAGTACGAGAATTTGTCTCTGCACACGCAGAAAGGGATAGATTTCTTAGAAAAATACGGTCATTTTATTAGGGATAGGTGTGCAATTGAAGTGGAATACGCCTCTAAACTCAGGTAAGATATATTTTAACTCTTATGACTAGCTCAGGTTTGATCACGATTTTCCAGGATGCTCGACCGATTGATTTATTTGTCATTATTATCATCTTGTAAACCGGCTTTTCGCTCCCTACTGTTGCGGTGCATGTCGTGGTTTGTATTTTTCATCATCATAAATTCAAGGGTGATATCTCAGTTAACTTTAGACCTAGAAGTCCGGTGTTTGGACGGACGTTCTTATTTTTCCACTAATTTATGATCTAACATTATCAAAGCACGATTTTGCCTTCAACGTTACTGACCGCTTAGCCCTTGGTACCGATCTGAATCGTGATCGGCCGAGCGTCTACCAGGTTTCTTCCAACGAAAAAGTTCCATGCAGATGAATTTAGACAGCTTGTCCGAAAATACAGCGCCTCCACTCCGACAATCCCAATTTATACTTCGCTACCACGATGCCCGGCAAGGCAAGGCGTGGTACGATAGACTTTCTACGTATCACTCTCTTTCGGTAATTATGAGGCATATCGCCCGGCTACGCGAATGGATTCGAACGGACCCCTCGCTCCCAAGTCACAATCAGCCGAAGACCGAAGCTTTGCGCACAGTGGAATGAGTCTATGGCAGGAGGGTACGGATTGGATCGACGTGAATCGATCGAATATTGATAACGTGAATTGGTCGGTGTGAACCGATCATCGTGATTCGATAGACATAATTCGATCTACTAACGGAGTTGTCGATGGATTCACAGGTTTTTTGATCGATTCACGGATTTGTCGGTCGATTCACGGCTATCAATCAAATCGGTATCGATCGATTCACTTTTTTAGTTCTCGATCGCTTCATGTCGATCAAATCCGTACCCGCCTTTATGGGAGAGGTCGGGCAGGATTTGGAAACTTAAAAAACTTGTATCCTCGTTAATATTATGAGACGTATAGGATTTTGAAAGTTACTCCATTGATTTTCTTATCAAAGAAGGGGTGTCGATAAGGACTGTTTTTAAGCCCATCCTGAATATCTTCAACTTGCCGATTTTTTGCTATAGAAGCTAGATATTTCACGGAATACATCACGATTTGGTCATTTTAGGTCTCTTTTCGGATCTAATTATGGCCTAAATTGCAGGCCAACGTTGGCGAAAAATGCGGGGTTTGCGGGTTTGCAGTCGAAAAACGAAATTATTCCAAATCCCCCCTAAAATCAGCCTTCAGGCCCATGTTTAGGCCATAATTAGACCCAATAAAGATCAAATCATGATACATTTTGTAAAATAGGTAAAGTCCTTCAATGAGCATTGAGCAAGAAATCGTTGAGTCGCGGAAATTCAGCCAAGGTTTGCCCAAAAGCAGCCCTTATCGATACCCTTATTTTCGCCAAAACTTTAAAATGTGACGAAATGCTACATCAAAATTTGCTGTTTTAGAAATAAATTTCATGTCTAAGCTCTTGATTCCACTGTGCGGCGGCCGCCTCTCCCGCTCCTCGCAACTAATAGCGCTTACTTGACCCAAATTATTAAGTTCTTCGCCGTTGTGGGTCCCTGCTTTTCTCCTCCCCCTCCCGCCCTCACCCTCATTCGCCCGTCTGTTGGTGTATCAAATTGGAGTATGATGCTCATAGCTCATGCTCGAGCCACTACTAGACAAGATGCAATTATTCGGACCGCTCTCCAGTCTAGTGTCGCCGTTGTCGGCTTCGCCATAAAAATAAAATGAAAACAACCAAAATTACTAGAGTGGCCGTTTTTCATCTCGGTGAACCTTAGACACCGTTGCGTTTATAAAACGGATCAAACGGGAAGTGTTATAGAATTTCATGAGCAGAGCGGAATCTACTCCTGTCTAATTATTTGTCTCTATCCGTTGGACTTCTTACCGGCCGCAGGGTGGCTACCGTTTGTAAAAACCGGAAAATATGAGGCAATCCGGTGTCACAAGGAAAATATCAAGAAATCCGAGTGCGTCAAGAATTTTTTAACTGCATACAGTTTAGCACATGCAATTCATGCAAGAGTAAAACATTTGATCCGATTCACCAACGATGTTTGTTTGCAAAATCAACAGAGTGTCTTTTTATTCGCACTAAAAATAAGGAAATTTCATTCAAAATTCCTGAAAAAATTATAGGAAAATATCATGCAAATCCGAAATGAAAAGTAGACTCCCTGCATCAGTGCTCCCATTTCATGTCCGTCAAAAGTTCCGGGATTTGGAACGTTTTGGCTCCAATTTCTCCCACTCCATGACGGTCAAAAGATCCGGGACTCCTTCTAGATTCTTTCAAAAGTTCCGGAAAATGCAAAAGATCCGGAACATTTCGAGATTTGCAAAGGTTCCGGAAAAAACTCAGGAAAGTCTCCAAATTTCCGGAAAATGGGAGCACTGCCCTGAATGGATCGTTACAATGAAACGTGTAGGAAGTTGAATAGGAAAAGTTGTAAAAACGCGAAAGAAGCGGGAAGTCAGTTTTAAATTTTCCGGCGAGCCCAGACGTACTGATTTTCAATCCATTTTTCACAAGAAGAAGCGTCTCTTCCTTTCGCTCCAAAAGAAGTTTGCAACAGCTCCATGCAAGAGACGAAACCCCGTTGGAGGGGAAGAAAATCTGCTCTAAAATCGCGTGGGAAATGACGGCAATAGTGACGAAGCCGCGGTTCAATATTTCAAACTGGAACCGGGATAAGACGGGGCAATCTGTCTCGATTAGGCATTCAAGGAGCTCCTCCATCAACGCGTGATGAGCATGAATGCATCCCGGGCGCAATAAATTATCTCTCTTTAAATTCGAATCCTTGCCTCCAACCTTTTTCTCGTCGCTGCGCGGAGTCAGTGCGCCGTGGCCGCACCACCACACAGTGGATCGAGTTTTGACTAAATCTGCAAATTTCGGTGTTTATTTCGTCACAATTTACATTTCAAGGGGTACACCAAGAAGAAAATACCACGAGAAAACCGATGGAACAACTTTTAGAACCACAAAGTTTTGTACAAACGGAGTTATTAGCGTTTAAAGTTTCCAAATTTTGTCCGACCTCTCCTATTGACTCGATCCACCGTGCGGCCGCACCGGCTCTTTTCAGCCGTCGCGTCGTCCTTCGGAAGTCCAGAATTCGGCTGCAGCTCAGCGTACGCGCACTTGCATCCAGCATCAAGCGCAGCGCCAGCCTCCGTTCCGTACCGTTCCCTCGTCGGACAGTGGTACGTATTGTGGTTTCGTTCCGGCCTGGAAACCTAGAGATGATGTATTTTAGAGACCCCGCAATAAACTGATCTAGTGGGCATGTCAAGCGATTCGTCGCCATAGATTTATTTAGTGGTTGCATCATATTTCAATGGGTTGTCACCACCCGATGAACAAATTTTGACTTACGAGTAGACTTTTTGACTTTTCTGATGGTAAATGACGCGTAAACGGAAAAATGCCTTTCAAGTGTTGCTAAAACTCCTCCGATAAATCATGAATTTTCGGAAAAGTTTGTACTTGCTTCTCCTCTGATTTTTCAAAGAATTTGTTCGTAATTTGATCTTCAGTGTTAAAATTCCAAAGGAAAATTTGACGAAAGGTCTTTAAGAGTAGATACATTCTGAGAGGCAATTCTGACAACATTCGAATGCACTTACATTGGGAAAAAAGTCTCTTGGATCCAGACTCCTGACTCTTGAGAATTTGACAAGAAACAATACTCTTGATTCAACCAGATTTTTGCTTCCATCGAGAGCCAAGCCTCTTAATTTAAGCAAATTTCCTTTTGATTCACACTGGAAGAAAAAAAAAAAAAAAAAAAAAAAAAAAAAAAAAAAAAAAAAAAAAAAAAAAAAAAAAAAAAAAAANCCGAGCCTCTTAATTTGAGCGGATTTCCTTTTGATTTAAGCTTAAATCTGATTGAATCAAGAGTCCTTTTTCTTGTCAATGTTTTCAAGAGTCTGGACTCTAGATCCAATGTGTTTTTTTTTCCAGTGCAAGCAAAAAACCGATTTTAGGTATCGCAATATGATTTTTTCTTGTCAAATTTTGAAGACTGAGGGCTCTATACACTTGCACAATAGACTCTTTTTTCCTATGTGCGGCGTTTTTTCCTAGCACGGCAGTATATTTAATTGCTACTAGTCCTTAGAAATCCACTGTGCCAAGCTCAGTTTAGGGCATGAAGCATAGCGCATCGCCGGCGGTAAATGGGCGATGGGTGTACCGTTTTGACAGCTCGTTGAGTGGTTATCTTGGTGTATCTCATTAGTCATCAAAAAGCGGCGCGGAGCCAGGATCCAGAATCCAAGTCGGAGGCGCCCGCACACCGCCCGCGGGCTCCGCGCCCTCCGATGAGACATCGATCAGTGAAAACAGACGCAACGCCCCCGATATTCCACCATCCACCCGCCCTCGGAACTGGATCTATGTTCGATGGAGCCTGGTAAAATGGGCCTTGAGGTGAAGTGGAAAAAAGGGATAACTCTGCCACAAATGGAAAACTATACTCCGCTTCATTTGCAGCTAACACAAAACATTCGAACAATAATTCAGGGGCTCGGAGGACAAGACGTACAAGTGCAGTTGTTGGAAAAAATTGCTTCCATATTTCAATTTTTAGCAACAAACAGTCAGTTTGAACTTTCGTTCCACCTTAAGAATCCATGTACCTAATTTCGTCCTACAATCTAGTTCTCTCCATCGTCTCGGATCATTCTGCGGTGGCGAGGCGTGAATGATCGATAACAGGGCCGGATTAAGGGGGTGGCCATGGCGGCAAAATTTAGGGGGCGGCAAATTTTGCAATCTTTTCGAATAAAGTTATCAAAAAATGAGAGAAAGCAATCGGACTCAGAAAATAAATTTCAAACGAAAAAAGGCGACAAAGTCTCTCATTTCCTGAGAGTAAAAGTATAGTAATTTCTAACTTTTTCGTCTTTCGGTTATACAAGAGACAACACCTTTTAATTAGTCGAGTTAAGAGGGAAACTAAACACGCATTTTGACCTGGAACGGAGTGTCGCGGCGGTCGGCATGAAACACAT